AGAGCTTGATGGGGGCCCCCCAAGGGCTCCTGGCCGCCGTCTCTGGCTTGGGGGCCCGGGCCGCCTCGCTGACCCTGCCCTCGCCCATGTTGGGGGAGCTGGCCAAGCCGGGGGGCCGGGCCACCTACGGCGACTACGAGAAAGAGAAACAGCGCAACAGCGATTGCTTGGCCGAGCTCAACGAGGCCATGCGCGGGCGGGCCGAGGAGTGGCACGGGAAGCCCAAGGCCGTCCGGGAGCGGCTGATGGCCCTCTACGGCTGCGCCCCCTTCAACGTCCGCTTCAAGAAGGACCACGCGCTGGTCGGGCGGATCTTCGCCTTCGACGCCGCCCCGCGGCCCAGCTACGAGTACGAACTCAAGCTCTTCACCGAGTACCCCTGCGGCTCCGGCAACGTCTACGCCGGCGTCCTCGGGGTGGCCAAGCAGATGTTCCAAGACTCCCTCAAGGAGCCCGGCAAGGTCATCTCGTCGGGTTACAAGTACCTCGAGTACGAGAAGTGCCACGGCTCCAACGAGTGGCGTCTCCTCGGGGAGCTCTTCACCGAGAACGTGCGCTTCTTCCGAGAGCCCCCGGCCCCCGAGGCCCTGCCGCAACAGTTCCTGGACAGCAACTGCGCCATGCCCCCCAACCTCCTGCTGAGGGCCGTGCCCCCGTCCCGGGCGGTCATGAGGAGACGCAAGGCCTCCCCGGAACCGGACGGCGAGCTGGCGGGCAAGCTGACCGGCGAAGAACAGCAGCAGAGGCAGCACTGGCTCTCCCAAGGGGCGAGTGGCCTGTATCCCTCGGGCCTGGCCCATCTGCCCGCCTCAGCAGGCCAGGGGCCTCTGCCCGAGGGCTCCTTGCGAAACGACCCCTCGCCCATCACCGCCCTGAAGAACGTGGCCGACACCCTGGGGAACAAAGAGGTCAACCCGGTCCACTCCACCACCGCCCGGCAGAACAGCACCAGCCCGGCCTCTCCCGCCGCCTCGGGCCAACACCGGCTGGTGTCCCGCAACGGCGAGCCGGGCCAAGCGTCCACCACCACCTCCTCGTCCTCGTCTTCTTCCGGGCCCCACTCTTCCGGAGGCGTCGAGCCCAGCGGCGCGCAGAGCGCCCCCGACTCCTCGGGCGGGGCCAGCAGCGCCCCTCTGTGCTGCACCATCTGCCACGAGCGGCTGGAGGATACCCACTTCGTCCAGTGCCCTTCGGTGCCCGGGCACAAGTTCTGTTTCCCTTGTTCCCGGGATTTCATTAAAGCCCAAGGAGCGTCCGGAGAAGTGTATTGCCCCAGCGGAGAGAAATGCCCCCTGATCGGATCCAACGTGCCCTGGGCCTTCATGCAGGGCGAGATCGCCACCATCTTGGCCGGAGACGTGAAAGTAAAAAAGGAGCGTGACCCGTGAGGAAGCCAAGATCTAGAACATTGGGTCAGGGGTGTGTGTGGGGGGGAAACGGAGGCCTGCGCGGCCCTCCTCCCCACCCTCCTCCCCATCTCCCGTCCGCTGTGGCAGTGACTGGAATTAGTAACTTATTCCCCAGCTTGACACCCTTTCTTTAACCCACGGTGGACTGGGGGTATTGTACATAAATCTATTTTTTAAATAATATTTCCATAGCAAGCTTATATATGAAGCCACATCTACGTTAACCTAATGATAGGGAGGGGAGGGGAGGGGAGGGATGTACAGGGAGGGGGGCAGGCAACCTTTGTGTAGCCTCTGAGGAGGGGCGATGCTTCACCATGGAGGGGCAGAAGTGATATGGGAAAGGTTGTTGAGGATGTGTTGCTGGAGAGCAAAGCACCCCCGCCCACCCCTCCCGCTTGTAATATTATCCTCATCTAAGTTTTCCCGGATTTCCACCTATGTCCCCCATCCCTAAACTCCGACACCTTTGCTTTCCTAGATTTTTGCAGTTCTTCTCTCCACTCCTCCCATATTTGCATCCATGACACCAACCTTATTCACTTCCGCTTGTCCTCCCACCCCATGAACATTGTATATATGGGATGGCCCTAAAAAAAAAAAACACCTTCCGCCAAGTTTTAGGTGAAACCCACACTGCTCTTGTCACGGGCCAAGTTGAGTTTCTGTTTTTATTCCAAGAGGGAAGGGAGACAGGCTGTGTGGAAATCTGCTTTTTTTGGGAAGGGGGCGAGCATGGGAAGGAGAGGGTTTGGAGCATTACGAGAGAATGTGGGTGCGCAGGAGAGGTGGAGATGCTTAAAAAGTGCCTCTTGTGTGTAGATTTTTACGTTGGAAGGGGAGAGTTTGTTTTCATACCAAAAGACTTAAGCATGCACACCAAAAAGAAGACGACAATGAAGAAAAATAATAAGAAGAAGAAAAAGTGGAGGGGGGAAGTACATGACGGACTCCAAAATTGGGATGCAGGACAGGTGCAGGATCAGATCTGCTGGGCCGTTCTGCATAAGCACTGATGACATGAAAGAGAGGCTGCCATTCATTTTGGTAGGATTTGAATATAGAATTTCAAGGATGTGAAAAACTTCTCTAAATTGGTGGGGTGGGGGGAGGAGGAGAATATTGGGAGGGGGAAATATAAGAGGGACTCATCCGAGGTTTTATTTTCACACACCCCCGCCCCAGAGGTTTTATTTTCACACACCCCGCCCCAGCCAAAAATAAAAGAATTCAAGAATTCAAAGTTTGTATATGGAATAAGAATCTCATTTAGCCAGCTCTAATTGGGGAAATTGTAATGGGTGGGGAAGGGGGAAGAATGATGATTGAACGAGGAGGGTGGCCGTGATTCAGTCAGGGGGGAAGGGTTGGGGGTCTAGCACTTATTGTGATGTGGTTCAGAGAGGCAGGGGGAGGGGGCACGCCGCAGACACAAATACGTATAAAGTTTGATTCTAGACTTGTCTCATGGCTGGGCAGGTGTTTCTGCCAACTTTGTATGTTTTTATGTTGTGAAATTTGGGAGGGGGGAGGATTGGGGGTTGGATCCCCCCTTTTTAAGTCTGCAGAGGGAGGGAGAGGAAGAGAGAATGTTAAATTTGTTTTTTGTATTTCTTTTACTTGTCTCTTGTCAATAAACTTGGTTATCTTTTTTTTTCCATTTAATTCCCCGTTTCTGCATGTGTGTACGTGTAGTGTTTGGCATGTAGCGCTGACTTACATCAGCGCAGACTAGGTCGGCTGGTTGCCCTCCATTTATGACCAGCTTGGGTCAGCGTATGCCCACCTCCTCAAAAGATACCGACAGGTCCAACCTCACTCACCAAGGGTTTATTGATGAGCAGGAGTGTCAGTTCTGCTTTCTACTGTAGCACAGCTGGCGTTCGAGGATGGCACAGAATGTTCACAAATACTCAAGCTGCTCAAGGCTAAATTCTTGGAGTCCAACTCCTATTAGGAGAGGGAGAGTGGTCAATTCAGGGATTGGAAATCTTACCAGAATTGTATTGAACAGTCTGCTATTAACCAAGGGAGGCCAAGAAGCCTGTGTTATCTGAAGACTCTGGAAAGGTAGACGTCATGATTTCAAGATCCAGCCAGTATCCCCACTTCAGCCTGCTTTTTGTAACATCTCACTGCATGAAGAGATCTGGAGATCTTGGTGGCTTGAACTTTTCTCTTTGCTTTGCTCTTCTCTCTTTCAGTTTCTGCCCCAGGGCCTGTTTTCCCCACTGGTATTGTCACTGGCTGGGTCTCTACCTCCTCTGCCTGTCCCTTTTCATCACTTGCTTTCTTGCCAGGCACTGAAACAAAGAGAAAAAGGACAATAACCCATCCGTGGCTCTTTCAGGTCAGAGGAAAGGTGGATGAACAAGCAGGTTTCTGGGGTAAAGAGAGAAACAGGTCTCCAATCGGATATGCCCCTAGATGAACAAGCAGGTTGCTGGGGTGAAGAGAGAAACAGGTCTCGAATTGGATATGCCCCCTGAATCACTCATTCTTGACCAGACAAGTCTGTCTTGAT